TGTGTGTGTGTGTGTGTGTAGGCTACATGTGTGTGCAGGTGCCCCTGGAGGCCAGTGGAGGCCAGAAAGGGAGGTGGATCCTTTGGAGTAGGAGTTATAGGTAGTTATGAGACACCCGAAATGGGTGCTGGGAACCAACTCAGGTCCTCTGCAAGAACAGCAAGGGCTCTTAATCATCAAGTCATCTCTTCAGTCCCTTTTTTCTTCTTTCTTCCTTTTTTCTAACTCCTCCTCCTTCCCCTCCTCCTCCTCTTCTTTTTCCTCTTCCTTCTGCAATGGGATACTTCAATGTAGCCCTGGCTAGTTTCAAACTGTCAATCTTCCTGGCTAAATCTCTTTAGTGATTGGATTATAGGTATGAGAACCACAACAGGCAGAAGACACATTTTTAATCAGTATCTCCAGTGATCTGTGTGTAGAGCCATAGTTGGCAGCATCTGGGGTCCAGGGGTGACTGTCCCCATCATTATCAGACTGCCATATGGGCCAGGTGGGGAGCCCTCAGAGCTGTGGATGATGCCGGAAGGAGACCTGCTCTGCCAGGGGAACACACATCTAACTGCCAAGCTTATGCCCCAGGAGTAATCCAGGGTGGGTGGGGGCATAGCTGTCTGAGAGGGATGGGGAGCAGCCGCAGCCATCTGAAAGGACATGGGACATAGCCACAGCCATCCAAGGGGATATGAGGTGGGCATAGCCATCTGAGGGGGATATGGGGGGCATGGTTACAGCCATCTTAGGGGTTGGGGGATCAGCCTCAGCTATCTGAGGGGAATGGGGGCTGGCCTCAGCCATCTAAGGGGGATAAGGAGACAGTCACAGTTATCTGAGGGGGACATGGAGGGCATGGCCACAGCCATCTGAGAGGTTCAAGGGTCAGCCATAGCTATCAAAGTGAACATGGGCGATGGCCACAGCCATTCAAAGGGTTGTGGAAGACACATGCACTTGTGGTCTCAACTCTCCAGGAGGGACCAGCCCTGTCTAAAAGCAGATCTCCCCGATAAGGCCAGCTAGCAGTGGGATTTATGGGATGGTGTAGTGTGTTTATGGCTCAGGAATCTCACAGTGGCAGTCATAATTCACACCATGCCTTTTACTGTAGAGGAGATGGGGGTCTTGGACATAGCTCTCAATTTCTGCAAGACAAAGACCAACTCTGAATTCTATCTACTCTCTCTAGGGTTCAGTTAGGAACAAGGAAACCATTAGCTAGCCTGGGGTCGGGTAGAAGGTGGGACAGGGAGGGAAAGATGGGGAGGGAGATGGAATGGAGGCTCTAGGCTCAAGATTTGACCTGCACAGTGGGTGGGGGCTATTGCATCGCAATGGGGACCAGCTGTTCTCTCCTTGTTGGGGAAGAGACCAAGAGGAAATGGCTGCAGCATGAGGAATGGAGGTCAGATACAGGGATGGACTTCCTGATGGTGACAGGGGAGCAAGGAGCAGGAGTGGTAACCAGAGCAGAGAGTAGATGTTTCCCTCTGCTAGGGACAATTAAGGCATTGAACCCAGCAGGGTCTTGGGTGTGACAGGGCAGTCAGAGCAGTGTATTCACTGTTGTTCCCCAGCTCAAGACACAAGATGCTCTATGATCCCTGCCTTAGGAGAATCAGCTCCTCAGATTTGGGGGCCCAGGCAGAAGGGGGTTGGGAAAAGGGCCTGTCACCTTGGTGCTGTCTGCCCCTCATCCCTAACTAGGGACAGAAAGGCCCAGTGTGACCCAGCTTGAGGCCTGCCTAGGGCTAGGCACAGTGTGGCCTTTGTCCCCAGAGTAGAGAAGCCATCTGGGGCTGTCCCGTGCAACTGGTGTCAGGAGAAGAGTAGTAGGGTGCAGGAGTACCACCCGGCAGGGTGGCATGGGGAAGGTCATGTCAGAAGCTGCTCTACAGTTGTGGGCTGGACAGGCAGACCCCAGCCAGCTTACCCCCTGTCCTCTCCCTTCTGCCTAGGTAAGCTTTCCCTCCCTCTAGGGCACACACCAGCTGCCAGCACTTCCTGCTGGTGCCAGAGACAAGAGTCACAGGGGGAGAGAGGAGGAGCCAGGCCTAGAGGAAAGATCCCTTGTCAGGGGCCACTGTGCACTGTGAGATGGTGAGAAAGACCAGGTTCCGAGGACAGTGGACAGCCAGCAAGGAAAGGGAAGGTGCCTAGAGAAAGCTTCAGTTGTCCAGGGGCTGCAGAGGGGATGGACCTATTCAAATTCAGACAGCAGCTTCCTGGTTGTCAAGTGCAGAGCAGTGCTTTTCTTTAGCTGAGATCCTCCCCAGCCCTGTCTCCTCCCCATGACCTAGGTGGCAAGTGTTGTTCTTTCCTGGGGTCTCCTCCTTCCCAATTCAGTCAATAGCCAGACAAACCCAGGCCAAAGCCTATGCTGCTATTAGGGAGCTGAGTGACCATGGTGAAGGGCCCCAATCCCTCTGAGCCTTGGCTTATTCATCCAACAATTATTTATGAACATTTACCAAAGCCTAGCTCTGTTGTAGGTTCTGAGAGTCCACAAGTGAAGGAGACAGATATTAATTCTTGCCTTTTTACACTCTGCCCCCCACCCCCACTTCCAGGACTGGAGATGGAACCTGGGGCTTTACGCAAGCAAAGCAAGTACTCAACCACTGAGCCACATGCCCATCTGGCCTTTTATGCCTTCTGATTGGGGGAAGGAGATACTGATTTAAAAATAAACAAGGGGGGGCTGGAGAGATGGCTTAGTGGTTAAGAGCACTGACTACTCTTGCAGAGGACCTGGGTTCCATTCCTGGCACCCACACCGCAACTAACAACCATCTATAATTCCAGTTCCAGGAGATTCAACACCTTCTTCTGACCGCCATGGGCACTGCACGACATGTGTGCACTTACATACATGCAAGCAATACATACGCATAAAGTAAAAATATTTTAGGTCCAGGCATGGTGGTGTACACCTTTAACCCCAGCACTCAGGAGGCAGAGGCAGGCGGATCTCTATGAGTTCCGGACCTATGTGAGGCCAGCCTGGTCTACATACTGAGTTCCAGGACA